GTGGTAGTGAACGAGTGCACACTTCAGGGAGAAGTGGTAGTGAACGAGTGCACACTTCTGGGAGAGAAATAGAAGTATTTCAGCAGAGTAGAGCTGGACTACAGTAACCCAGACACTCTTGGCCAGTCTTCTTGCTGACCTCAGGAGATCCAGGGGTAAAACCTGCACCGTTTCAACTTCAGGGTCATGACAGTATGATGGAGGACAATGGGACAGAGGACCATGCTTTACACCAGGGACCTGATATTCTGCAGTGACTGCTTTACAAAAGGTGCCGTCTCGACACATTTTCCGCTTAGTTTAAGATGCAAGCCCCCCCCCACACACACACTGCAGAGGAGAGGTAGCTAGTAGAAAGAGCTGCTGGTGATGTACAGTATATGGTCAGGGTTGGCCCGCTCCGTCCACCGTCTCCGCAGGGTTGGCCCGCTCCGTCCACCGTCTCAGCAGGGTTGGCCCGCTCCGTCCACTTTCTCCATTTCAATCCAGTCAATTCAGGAAAAGTGAAACTTCCTGAAATTGATATATTGATCGTTTGTGATGCGTAGCAAAATTAAAATTACTAAAAAAGGACGACCTGGAATGCAACCAAGAAGATGACTCCCTACTACCCAAACAAACACACACCTAGATGGATCACCTCCTGTAACGTGCCTTCTAGATGGAACACCTCCTGTAAATGTGCCTTCTAGATGGATCACCTCCTGTAACGTGCCTTCTAGATGGATCGCCTCCTGTAACGTGCCTTCTAGATGGATCGCCTCCTGTAACGTGCCTTCTAGATGGAACACCTCCTGTAAATGTGCCTTCTAGATGGAATACCTCCTGTAACGTGCCTTCTAGATGGAACACTCCTGTAAATGTTTCTTCTAGATGGATCACTCCTGTAACGTGCCTTCTAGATGGAACACCTCCTGTAACGTGCCTTCTAGATGGAACACCTCCTGTAACGTGCCTTCTAGATGGAACACTCCTGTAACGTGCCTTCTAGATGGAACACTCCTGTAACGTGCCTTCTAGATGGAACACCTCCTGTAACGTGCCTTCTAGATGGAACACCTCCTGTAACGTGCCTTCTAGATGGAACACCTCCTGTAACGTGCCTTCTAGATGGAACACCTCCTGTAACGTGCCTTCTAGATGGAACACCTCCTGTAAATGTTTATTCTAGATGGAACACCTCCTGTAACGTGCCTTCTAGATGGAACACCTCCTGTAACGTGCCTTCTAGATGGAACACTCCTGTAACGTGCCTTCTAGATGGAACACTCCTGTAATGTGCCTTCTAGATGGAACACCTCATGTAACGTGCCTTCTAGATGGAACACTCCTGTAACGTGCCTTCTAGATGGAACACCTCCTGTAACGTGCCTTCTAGATGGAACACCTCCTGTAACGTGCCTTCTAGATGGAACACCTCCTGTAACGTGCCTTCTAGATGGAACACCTCCTGTAACGTGCCTTCTAGATGGAACACCTCCTGTAAATGTTTATTCTAGATGGAACACCTCCTGTAACGTGCCTTCTAGATGGAACACCTCCTGTAACGTGCCTTCTAGATGGAACACTCCTGTAACGTGCCTTCTAGATGGAACACTCCTGTAATGTGCCTTCTAGATGGAACACCTCATGTAACGTGCCTTCTAGATGGAACACTCCTGTAACGTGCCTTCTAGATGGAACACTCCTGTAATGTGCCTTCTGCACCCAGATCAGCCAACAGGAACTATAGAACAGAGCACCAAACTAAGAGGATATAATTACAGAGCCTAATGTTCCAACACCAGGTCCAGATGGTTCCTGTCCTCACAGAGGAGGGTGTGCAGGATGGAACACAGAATGGATGGGAGCACAACTTACGCATCCTAACACATGAGCCAATTTAAGTTCTCTTCAGTTCTTCAACAGCTTGTATGAAATGGATATGAATGTAGCGAGCCTATTTGGTTTACTGCTATTTCTGTTGATTTGAGGAGATCCTGACCCGCAAGACCCATTTAGTGGTCCTCGCCCCCCCACCCACCCGCCCACGCACCCACCCACGCACCCACGCACACAAGATGACCTTCAGCCAAACGCAGAAATCAGTGACTGACTATTCTGCATGCCTGTCTCTGTCTCTGTGTACCAGAACTATTTCACGTCATGGGGTTAACATTAGGGAAGGAGCTATAGCCTTCTGCAGTATAATGTTCAGTCCAGGGGCCGGGTCCCAAATGGCATCCTATCACCTTAACGGTGCACTACTTCAGACCAGGACCCATAGGGAATATATAGGGTGCCATTTGGGTTGCGGACACAGAGTCTGTCTTGGACACTACTGTGAGTACTAGAATACATGAGTACCATTAGACCTTTCATTACCAGGCTAATCATCAGTACCATTAGACCTTTCATTACCAGGCTAATCATCAGTACCATTAGACCTTTCATTACCAGGCTAATCATCAGTACCATTAGACCTTTCATTACCAGGCTAATCATCAGTACCATTAGACCTTTCATTACCAGGCTAATCATCAGTACCATTAGACCTTTCATTACCAGGCTAATCATCAGTACCATTAGACCTTTCATTACCAGGCTAATCATCAGTACCATTAGACCTTTCATTACCAGGCTAGTCTGACAATCTAAAGTAACCTCTTCCACCTGACTACCGGGACTAAATCTGATTAAAAGAGACAAACAGAACAGATCAAGTGTAACAGTATTTTGACGTCATCCTACTCCTCCAAGCCCCTGTCTAGGGTTGCAAAATTACAGAAACAAAATTCAGGGTATCCAGGTTGGAAGATACCCGGAATCAGCAGGGAATAAGCAGGAAATACGGGAATCCTCCAAACAAGATTTGTGGAAGTTAACAGAGTTCTCCAGTCACAGGTCTTCCAAGTGGAGATCCTACCCCTGTCGTTACTAATTGTACAGTTCTCCAGTCACAGGCCTTCCAAGTGGAGATCCTACCCCTGTCGTTACTAATGGTACAGTTCTCCAGTCACAGGTCTTCCAAGTGGAGATCCTACCCCTGTCGTTACTAATGGTACAGTTCTCCAGTCACAGGCCTTCCAAGTGGAGATCCTACCCCTGTCGTTACTAATGGTACAGTTCTCCAGTCACAGGCCTTCCAAGTGGAGATCCTACCCCTGTCGTTACTAATGGTACAGTTCTCCAGTCACAGGCCTTCCAAGTGGAGATCCTACCCCTGTAGTTACTAATGGTACAGTTCTCCAGTCACAGGCCTTCCAAGTGGAGATCCTACCCCTGTCGTTACTAATGGTACAGTTCTCCAGTCACAGGTTTCCAAGTGGAGATCCTACCCCTGTCGTTACTAATGGTACAGTTCTCCAGTCACAGGTCTTCCAAGTGGAGATCCTACCCCTGTCGTTACTAATGGTACAGTTCTCCAGTCACAGGTCTTCCAAGTGGAGATCCTACCCCTGTCGTTACTAATGGTACAGTTCTCCAGTCACAGGTTTCCAAGTGGAGATCCTACCCCTGTCGTTACTAATGGTACAGTTCTCCAGTCACAGGTCTTCCAAGTGGAGATCCTACCCCTGTCGTTACTAATGGTACAGTTCTCCAGTCACAGGTCTTCCAAGTGGAGATCCTACCCCTGTCGTTACTAATGGTACAGTTCTCCAGTCACAGGTTTCCAAGTGGAGATCCTACCCCTGTCGTTACTAATGGTACAGTTCTCCAGTCACAGGTTTCCAAGTGGAGATCCTACCCGTCGTTACTAATGGTACAGTTCTCCAGTCACAGGCTTCCAACAGAAGCAAATGGAACGAAACGGGGAGGGACCTAACTGAATTTGTCCAATAGAAACTCTCATTTACGTTGCTAAATGTTTTCCATTTAGAAAAATGTTGCTACGGGTGTGCACTAATAAATACACCCCTGGTCTCTATCTGCTACTCTGCAAGTACCCTGTCGGTGTGGGGTGGACACAGGAAACCTTGAGTGATTACTTCCTCTTTCCAGAATGGCCTAGCTGAGATCTTAGATAGCAAGCCTTTGGTTGTGTCCCACATGGCACCCTATACAGTGCACTACTTTTGGCCAGAGCCA